CAGGTGCCTGTAGTCCCAGCTACTTGGGAGGCTGAGGCAAGAGGATCACTTGAGCCCAGGAGTTTGAGACCAGCCTGAGCAAGAATGAGACCCTGTCTCTACTAAAAATAGGAAAACCAGTTGGGCACTGTGACAGGTGCCTGTAGTCCCAGCTACTCGGGAGGCTGAGGCAAGAGCATCTCTTGACCCCAGGAGCTTGAGGTTGCTGTGAGCTGTGGTAATGCCATGGACTCCACCCAGGACACAGAGTGAGACTCTGTTTCAACTGACTCAAGCAATAGGAGAACAGCAAGCAGAGAAGGGAGTTGGTGTCGTCCCTACACCAGAGGTAGCAGTGGCTGGTACACCAGGAATGGGGCAGAGACCATGGCACAGGTGGTGGTGGACATCTATCTTCCTCCCCTCCCAGGCCCACTGGCCCCTGCTCCAGCCCCATGCCTGCCACGCCACTGGGATTACAGGCATGAGCCCTGGGGCCCTGCCTCAGGGGCAGTTTTTGCCCCCAGGACACACGTGTTTGCCGTGTGGTGTGTGCGTGCACATACACTCGTGCCTTTGCTGCCCAGTGGTAGAAGCCAGGGATGCTATTTTACTTTTTACAACACGCAGGGCAGTCCCCCAAAGCAAATAGTTACCCACCCATAACGTCAACAGCACTGAAGTCTGAGGAGAACCTTCTCTAGGTAGAAACAGCCAAGAGCTATCATTTTATCTCTGTGAATATCATTTGTCTCACCAACAAAGCATCTTACTGTGTGTTGTAGGTTAAATTCCTTGGGAGGCAGACTGTGAGCTGGAAGTCGGAATCAGGATGGTGTTAGGGAGTAATTGGAGGATTAACCCCTGTGTAAGACAGGAGAGAAAGGACTGACGTCGAGTTGCAACAAATTTCCAGTGAAGGACTTAGCCACGCCTACACGAGCTCTGCAGCTGGGATAAGTTTCCCCAGGGGTGAGCACTGGGTCTTTTCTTTTCCTTCTTTTTGAGACAGCAGCTCACTCTGTCACCCTAGGTAGAGTGCTGTGGTGTCATCATAGCTCACAGCAATCTCAAATCCTGGGCTCAAACGATCCTTCTGACTTAACCTCCCAAGTTACTGGAGCTATAGATACCCACCACCAGACCTGGCTAATTTTTCTATTTTTAGAAAAGTTGGGGTCTTGTTTTTCTCAGGCTGGTCTTAAACTCCTGAACTTAAGGGGTCCCCCCAGAGTGTTGGGATTACAGGCTAAATGTTGGTTGCCACGGTGTCCAGACCAAATGTTGGCTTTTATATCCCTTGATAGTTCATCATCAGCTTCAGGCTGCCCTGGATGGATGAGTGACGGTTTACGCAGCATTCTCTCTCTCCGCACCCCCTCCTTTCTTTTTTTTGGAGATAGAGTCTCACTTCGTCGCCCTTGGTAGAGTGCCGTGGCACCGTATCTCACAGCAACCTCAAACTCTCGGGCTCAAGCGATTTCCTTGCCTCAGCCTCCCAGGTAGCTGGGACAAGTGGCCGCCACAACACTCAGCTTTTTGTTGTTGTTGTTGCAGTTATCATTTTTTAGCTGGCCTGGGGCAGTTTTGAACCCACCAACCTTGGAGTACGAGGCCCACACCATAACCACTGTGCTATGGGCACCTAGCCAATTTTCCTATTTTTAGTAGAGACAGGGTCTCACTCTTGCTGAGACTAGTCTCAAACTCCTGAGATCAAGGGATCCTCCCAGAATGCTGGAATTGCAGACGTGAACCACCACAGCTAGCCTGTTATCTTTTCATTTAGAAAGTAATTTTTAGGGCTGGGCCATAGGTGGCTCACGTCTGTAATCCTAGCACTCTGGGATGCCAAGGAGGGTGGATTGCTTGAGCTCAGAAGTTCAAGACCAGTTTGTGCTAGAGTAAGACCCCATCTCTACTAAATAGAAAAACTGAGGCAAAAGATCTCTTGAGTCCAAGAGTTTAAGGTTGCTGTAAGGCATGATGCACCAGCACTCTGCCCAGGGCAACAGAATGAGACTTTGTCTGGAAAAAAAAAAAGGAAAAAGAAAACAATTTTTAGGAAAGGAATCATGATTATTTTGAGGTATGTTACAAGGAGATGTCTAAGGTGTGGAAGTAACTTCATGCATTTATTTTTGTTTAGTTACATGGACCTAAGATGAATGGCCTTAGCTCACCTAACCAGACATATATACCTGACAGTTTTGGATAGTACGATTTCCTTGCAGAGGGACAACTGACAGATGAATTCATAAGTCAGAAGAGTTACATGTGACCAGGAATATTGAACAGTCTATGGAACCATATCTGTGACAAGGATAAAGTCTGAAAAAGTATCATGGTGTGTGTCTGGAGAAGTAATAAACTACATTGATGAGAGTTTTCACTTGAATGAGCCTTTCAAAGTCCAGGAGGAACAGTACATCTCCTTTAAATTGTCTTTAGATCTTTTTTCTTTCTTTCTTTTTTTTTTTTTTTAAGACAGAGTCTCATTCTGTCACCCTGAGTAGAGTGCTGTGGCATCATCATAGCTCACAGCAACTTCCAACTCCGCTCAAGCAATACTCTTGCCTCAGCCTCCTGAGTACCCATCATGCTCAGCTAGATTTTCTATTTTTT